TATATATATATATATATATATATATATATATATATATATATCAAGCCTTCCTTAAAACTCCATTGCAATTTACTAACTAATCTAATCACATGTGCAATATTGGTCTCCTTACCTAAGAAAAATATTGACTCAATGGAAAGGATCCAGCAGGGGAAGGCTACTACTACTAGTACTAAGATGTTTCTGGGAATGGAAGGGTTATTTTATAGGGTTAGATTAAAGTACATTAAACTTATAGGGTCTGAACAGATTCCTGAGAAACATCAGTGATCACATTTTCCTATTTTTAAAATACACATTCATCACTGTTGATATTCTATTGTTAAGCCAATTTTTAACTAATGTCTTTGCCATTTATCCTATAGTACAAGTATCCAATTTATTAAACAATCTTTTAACATAAAAGATAAAACCAACATAACTAACAGTATAACCACAATGCATTTATGCCCTAAACCATAAATGCTATAAAAAATTTATAAAAGTCTACTGTTATAAAAAAGTTAAGCAACAACTTGAGAAGAGCTTGTAAACTAGAAGTTATTTTCTTGTGACCCTCTCGTTGTCTTTAAAAAATTTAAAAATTAAATTTTTAGATGGGGAAAACACTGATAGTGATACAATGACAAAATCTGAATGAAGAACAGAATATGTCATATAAATGTATAAATTAATGCAAATTAATGGTCTTAAATACTAGAATTGGGAAGGGATCTAACTTAGGGTAAAGTAGTGAAATCGGTAGCACATTAAAACCAATATTTATGGAACTAGAACAAAGAACTTCTACTTGTAGAATACAATTTTTAATTTACAAGTTACTGTAATTTGTAAATGTAATCTAATACTGTTTTTTTTTCTTTTTTGCCCTTGCATGATAGTTCAAAATGGATAACAAAAGAACACAAGTGTTTAGATACTTAATATTAATATTTTGCTATATATCTAATTTATTTACTTTTTTAGCTTGAGAGAAATTGTTCGATACTGCCCCAACACGTCACTCCTTGTGGCTTCCATTGCATAATACGCAAAAACTAAATATTTTTTAGTTCTGCACTGCAGTCAGTACCAATGGCAACTCGCTTACAGTACTGATGCCTTTATAAAAAGAAATATATGGTTAAAACCGCGTAGGCGACAAAGATACCGATATTAAAGAATAGAATAAACAATCGCCAACTTTTTTTATATCTTTGTTGTAAGCTATACGATCTTAGGAAGATCGTTAGCTCGAAACGTCATCCTTCTTTAAATAAAAAAAACTTACCGATCGTTCAATCTATTATTTACTTACGATATTAATGCCAGCGACATCTGACGATCAATGGGTAGTTACAACTGTTCAAGCAATATTTATTCACCTCAAGAAGGGTAGTTTTTGCAATGCTACACAGTGGTCTACCCGCACTCTGTCCATCGCGGGGAATCGAACCCTGGATTTTAGCGTTGTATGTCTGTTAACTTACCAAGCATCACCAAAATAATAGTCTCTTGTATAAACATAATTATTTTGAGAGTTCATAGTTTGTTTGTTGTTAAGTGCATAGCTATACAATGAGCTATCTAACCTCTGTCCACAGCAAGTATCTAACCCCAATTGTTAATGTTAACATAGTGGATCATCTCTCAGACGTGACTTTCCGGATAAAATGTGGTCGGCGAGGTAA